ACACAGACACAGACACAGACTAGACCCTAGTATCATATGTATGTGTCCAGAGTATTTAGTGTTTCTAGCAGTGTGTATTTTTCCTAAAAAGAAAGTGAACAAAAATGACAATTTGAAATTGTAAACTGTGACTTTTGTATGCAGCCTCCAACTAAATGACGTAGAAATGTAGTTTTTTAGTCAGCCCTACTAGTGCAGGGTATCAAGTATGGTATGGATACCCCACAAGTATCTGCTGTTAGGAGCAACACACCGGCAACATATGACCCATGTCCCAACCCCTGGACCGACAGTAGTTATCCATGTAAGACAGCACCGGCGGAGGAGTGACACCTATGTGCCGCTGTCCTCTTTCTCAGTGACAACATGTGTCAACTCTTCAGAAAAGTAGCTATTTTAATTGCATTTGCTCCACAGATTGGCACATTGACTTCTCGTGTCTGTATGATGCCTGTGTCTGGTGTAAAGGGAAAAGCCAAATTCAACAGGCATTGTTGGATTGTCTCAGGCATTATTCTAAGTCAAAGTAGACTGCAAGAAGCCAAAGTGTAACACTAAATGAAAACAAAAAATGTTTTCCATGTCTAAATGTTAGATCATGTGTGTGATTACTGGTGTAGTAAAGCCTCTATGATCCTGACATAACAGCAGAGAATTCAGACCAAACAAGACACAGACACATACAGGAGGACACATACAAAGCTTACAGAGAATAAGATCAGAAAAGAGACAAAATGATGATCTGACAAGTTTACTGAGGAACTCCTGGCACAATGAAGCCTAATGCATCAGAGCTTTCAAATGAAAAATAAGAAAACTTTGTTTCGCACAAAACTTTAAACATGTAAATGATACACCCAGTGTGGGCCTTTCTCCGCCTGCTGCACCGTCCTCTATGGTGACTGGCAGAGAGACATCCTGAATATCAAAGAGGAACAACAAACCAGTTGGAAATTTGAATGAAATAAATGTGCTTATTGTAGTTCAGAACAGCTGAGACGAGACTGACACCTAGAGCTGTCTTAAGTACGGTAATATTGTGTGTGTTTGCTGTTCTAGTGCAGCATTATATATGTGTGTATGTGTGTGTGTGTGTGTGTCGTTTGTTGTGGTACTCTGCCTCTAACTGACCACAGATCTAACAACAGTAGAAACTACAGGGAGAAACCTGCTCATCCAGTTCCTGACAACATCAGCCTGTGTAAATAAGGGCAGATATTGCATCAGCTGTCCTTGGACATTTAGAAAGTCACATTTAAGGTCATGTTTAAACGAATCGTGACAAAGTTGTTTAAAAATGGCCCTTTGGAAATCAAACGTACTGAATCAGCTGGCTAATTTTCTGTTATTTCTTTTAAGCGTTAGCACTGTTAGCTCTAGCTACTTTAGCTAACTCGACAGCGCTAAGGAAGGCGGTTCGCCGCTCCATTTGAATTAACGTTAAGTTAATGTAAAGCGAACATATAACGTTATAACGTTAGCCGGGTTGGCTACAATGAAAACACCGGTAGAACATTGTGAGCTTCTCCTCTCACGTTAACGTTACGTTTCCTGAAATGTTCACTATGAAGCAGCTGACGTCATAGCACAAAGCTAGTGGCCCCAGCGCGAGGAGCTATAGATGTTATTTCGTTTTTGGACCTACGCCAAACATCGCTCAAATACATAGTAATTTAATGTTCACGCACTTGTCAATGAACACATGTGCACTGTGAATTATAACGAGTGACATTTCGTAAATACTTGGTGTCATCCAGTTAATTCGGCACACCAAGGCCGTTTTATTTAACTAACCTATAACGCTAAATACGTAACGTTAACAGTATTCAACAGTATTGACCTAACGTTAAGGTTTATCGAATAAAGGAGTGACTCATAATGAATCAAAAAAGTAACGTTGCGGGCCACATGGGGGCTGCAATAATTTGACAGAGAGGTAAATGGGGTTTGGTGTGGGGATATTCAGCCAGCTATGCTGTAAGAATGAAGTTCTTCAGAGTGTGTCTGTTAAATGCCCAATGGACATGCTGCCCACCGCATGTTAACAACTTGCTTTGACATCAGCATTCCAGCTGAGAGCTGAATGGGAGTACTGACCTGCTCTTTGCTCGCCTTCTCTGACTTCAACTTCCGAACGACTTCACCTTGGGTTTTAATCGCTTCTTGTATCTGTGCTTTGTCTTCCATGGCTTTTCATTAATGTATTTCCACCGCAGCTCACACCTCCGGCAACCCAGCAGCTGTCAAGACTAAACTGGCCTCGGATACGGAAACAAGCGGGCTAAAAACCAACGTTAAAAGTGCATAGCGCCACCTGCTGTACCGGAGTATAACGTCATGACTTTATAATGAATGTATATTCTGGATGTTAAACCTGCTTCATTTAAATATTTAGATAAATATCTTTCAACCTGAGATTATTTGTCCCCTATGTCCGACAAACCTCATATACTCTTCTCTCTCCCCATCATCCACCCCCCTGTCCTTCGATATATTTCTATGGGCTACTGAACTATCTACAAACCATCAGCAAATGTTCAACAGCTTCTTTATAATTATAATTTCACATTCATGTGACTCTTTCTTGTCCTAATCAAAAGGACATACATACAGTATACAAAATCTTCTTTCCTATATTTACGTCTATTACTTCTCATTCTGACAGACCTTTGAATTGTGTAATAATCTCTACCCTTATTTAACTCAATGATACCCATTCCTTTTTCCCAGCTGCCCTTGAAACTGTCAGAAGACAGGTATGTTATTGATAGTAGCATGTTATGCAGATAGGAGGTCAAGTTGTCCTTAAATAGGGGGCCAAGACAGTCATGCTTAACACTTTATTGTAGCTGAATTTATCCTCCCTAATATGATTCGGGGCACTACTTATCCCACTAGCCATCATAAGCTTTCTTTTGTACCAAAAATGTGCAGTGAAGAATTGACACATTTAACAGTAGGGCTGATCTCTCCACTCAGCTCAGTAATCCATCAGTTTTTATTTATAAAATATATCAAAATATTATATCATAATGTCTGTGTGCTTTGCTCCACAGGCCTTGTAAAGTACTTTTTCAGACTAATTGTGATTTTTTTATGATTTGTTATGACCACGTTTTAGATTTAAAAAAAAACATAATGGGTTAGGGTTAGGGTTACAAATTAAATCCGAAAATTAAAATATATTTATACAGAAATAAAATATTCAACAACTTCAGATGAAGTATTTTTAATAACAACAAAGCACCAACACCCTGTACTTGAACTTCTGTCAAGGTAAATCCCATATGTTCCATTTAAAACAAGTTCTGAACTTGGATACAGCCGCTCCATCT